ACCCATTTAAATAATATTGGTTAATTTCCCGTAATAACTCCAGGGAATTTATGTAGTTCTATTGCAATTAGTGAATCTAGGAACTATAAAATAGGGCTATTTAGATGACTCAAATGAATAGAAAAGTTTTATAAACTTAGTTTAACTTCAAAATATGCAAGTATAGTCTGAGCCTGACACTTTTCATCTTGTTTTTCCTTATTTACATAAAGCAGCTCTTTTATGAACTAAAACAAAGGTCATGTGTGTTGTTACTGACTCAACTTTCTTAAAAAGCTTCTTTCAGGATATCCTGAATTTAAATATAAATAAAAAGCATTTATAAATGTCAGGTAAAAAAGTCAGTCATAATTTTTAAAGCTTTCATTTAGTATTTTGTTTCCTTAAGGGCAACCTTTCGGAAAATCAAGTACCAGCCAAGTTACAGCAAACTGCAACCCCTTTTGTTTAGCATCTAAGGGCCCACACGCCTGATGCGTTGCTTGAAACCCATGCAGCGGCCTTGACCTCGCCTCGCACGCGGCAGCAGTGCCTGCCCTGCTGCACACGGCTGCTCATTCTCTCCTCTCTCTCGGTGTCCCAGGCCTCCGAGTCATCCATCACTGGGCAGGAGAGCGCTCTGCGCAAACACCTGAGTGTGCCTGTGCCCTTGAAGGTGGGGTCCCCTGGGGAACGTGGTGGGTGAGAGGGTAAGAACAGAGGAAAGACAAGAACTGACGAGTCCAAGCGGGGAGTCGGGAGGCCCCCCACATACCGCCTGAGGGCTCACGTCCGGCTGTGTGGCCGGTGGCCCCCGCGCTGGGGTCCCCGCAGGGGACTGGTTGTGACGCTTCAGGGTCTCTGTCTGCTCGCATGTAAAATGGGAACAGTGTCAGAGCCCTTGTCTCGTAACAGGGAAGTTCCTATTAGATCACAGAAAATGGTGGTTTCCAAAGCTGAATGCAATTCAGTATTCCAACTTCACTGAAAGCCATGTAGATATATTTACAGTCTACAATAACCTATAAATATCTGAAATCAGTTTACTTCGATTAAAAATGTATTATTATTTTATTATTCATATATAATCAAGCATAGAAAAAGCACTGTGCTTTTTAATCCTTATATTTTAAATACTCTGAAGAAAATCAATACTTTCTTGTCTTCAGAAAAACAAAAATGATGGTGAAAATTCTTATGCGTTTGAGTGAAATAGAGGAAAGACATGGCCAGAACGCACCACTCAACAACCACTCCTGAGGAGGCAGAAAGGTGGGAGAACACCCTCCCCCCTGCCTTCCATGTCTCAACTTAAAAGAAAGGCAGGGGGATGGGGGGAGGGGCATGGTCTAAGAAAGGAAAATGAAACCAATGGAAAGGAGGGTAAAATTTTATTCTCATTTATGAGGTGAAAGCTGATGAGATTTCACTCATTCTCCATCAGTTCTTGATTGGATGTGACCTTTTCGGCTGATATTTTAAAGGGTAACTGTATACTTGAGAAGTAGTCCTGTTAATTGATTTTTACTAAAAACAGATACATTTCTATCTGTGGACTGGAGGTATAAAGCCAGGACACAAACAGATACTTAATGTCCAAGAAGGGAGGCATTAAATAATGTGAAATCTGATTACTGGTTTAATAATCCCACTTCCAAAATTACATTTTGGTTTCTTCACCTATAAAAAGAAGTAGTAAGATCTATGGAATTAGCAAGTTTTCAAAAATAAAATTGGAAGATAACCTCAAATATTGTGTCCTACAAGACTTTCTTATTTACAATAAACTTCAAATTACAACTAAACATAGACAACTGCCATAGCAACCAGTTTAGACCAACGAGCACTGCTGTAATAACATATCCAGTTTATCACAAGGGGTTAGCCATCTTACCAACGTTTTATAGGCATTTACATTTCTTTTTCATTCAAAGCATTGTTTCCAAGTCTTCAATTTAATTTCCCCCCACTCCACTTTCTCAAACTAAGATCACCCTGATTTTCTGATGATCACTCCAGTATCTCGCAAAGAAATTCCATACTGAAACCGAGGGGAAATAATCCATTTGTCTTATTTCCCACTAAATGAACACTGGATATTCCAAAAATAATGTCGCTTGCTTGTAAGAATGAAAAGCAATCACATAGCAGGTACTATCAAGAAAAGGCTACTGCCTTATTGTCGAGCCTATCGTTTCAGTCATTTTCTGCCTTACCAGATATTGGGTTGTCAGAAAAGACATGACGCATTTTTGCAATGAAAAACATAGAAAAACTACGTCATGACTTTTCCGACAACCCAACAGCAAGTTCTTTGGAGAAGTTTCTCTCACTCATTCCGTTGTCCCTTATTGGTTCATGTGATCTTTGTTTCACTGGTGCCTTTGCTCCCCCTCTTTCCCCACCTCACTCCCTCACCCAGTCCATCATTCAGTCAATCACTGACCCTTCGGAATGTGCCCGGCCCTGGAGATACACCAATGACAAGCAGGGACTTCTCAGCAGGAGCCACACAGTCCAGAGGGGAGCAGAGAAACAACTCTGATGTGGGGTCCTGCCCAGGGGAGGGTATGGGCAAGGAGAGAGGGGAGCAGGGTAACGACGCAGACACCGCCGCCCAAACTTTGTTTTAAAGAGAGTGAGTTTGCAGGGTAAAGAACAGGGTGTTTCAGAAAGAGGACGCAGTGCCCATAAAAACCCGCATGGCCTTCTAGAACCCGCACTGGTCGTCAGCAGTGTCTGGTATCGTTTTAGCTATAATATTGACACTCAGTGAACTGGTCTTCTGATTAAAAGTTCAGTTTCAAATTCCACTTGTATTCCACTTGTCATTGTTTCCTATTTTTTGTCATGCTAAAAAGTTAAATGGTAATTTGGACTTTTGAAAGATCTGAAAAACCTACTCTATAAAGAAACATTTAAGATACCATTAAGATGGCGGCATCAAATCTGCCAGGGTTTTTGGCTATCATAAATTTTGAGTAGTTATTTTGCAAACAAATAGGGTTCTGACTTGAGAGAAAATGTTTATTAGCACATCTGCACTTGAAAGCTCTTGTTCTGAGAACTTTTCTACATAACTGAATGGATTAAAGTAACATCATTAATCTGCATTTCTATATCTCATTTCTTTAGTAAAAAGTTAGTTTCCATGTTTACCTAGATATTATAGCTTTCTATTTTTTCATGGCACAACAAGATTTTACCAAGAGGAGGAATTGTACTGACATTTTTTGGGGTAAGTGTCCCATATAACATGTTTTGCTTTATATTTCTTTTCGAAACTGGAAACTATATGGAGGGAAGTAAAAAGGTGGAATCTATTTTCCTTTCCCAACTCGAAGACCTTCTATCTGGGCCAGACTTTGATATGTGCCCCTTGGCTGAGAAGCCGCGGAGCCAAGTTCACACTTAGCCACAGTGAAGCAACCCTGCAGGCAGGCCGACTTCAACGAAGCACCAGTGGTATCATCATTAAAATCCTGCTGAAGGTCACCATGGTAACCGCCTGCTGAGGCTTCACTGCTGCTCGCGTCTCCTAATCAGCTACCATGTGAAATGCAAATTTAGACAGTCTGAAAATTAGTCAAGAAGAATAGGGGATGAGGATGCAGATATGTGAAATATTCATGCGCCTCATGGTAAAAAGGAGACAGCATGAATGACACAACAAAGGAGGGACCCTGACATTCTCGCGGTCATTCCACATTATTGTTCACGCCGCACTGTATTTCAGGCCTGGGCTCTGAAGTGGGTTTTGTGAAATGCCATATTTATATGCTATACCCAAAATAGTAATTAAAAACGGCCAACCTAATAGCATTAACATCAAATAAAGATAATACTTCTGGGTGATCACCACTGCCTGGTAAGAGTTTATTCTAATTACCTGAATGCAAATGCTATGAAACGAAAAGGCAGGCATCACTGATTATCAGTATCAAAACTACTAGGACAAAAAGGTACGTAGAACATTCTGGGACCCCAAATACTTTACATATGGTAAAAATCCTTTAGAGATATTTATTATTCAAGTGACACTGACTCTATGTTCCTTATATAAAGCTAAAACCAGATGCTATTCATTTCACAATACGAAGGGTGCCAGGACTACCTGATAAGTGAGCATTACAATTGCTCTAGCTTTCTCCTCTGCTCCTTGCCCTTTTCCTTGGTGGTGGTGGGGGGGAATCTGTTGCTCATGAGAAGGTGGGGTGTCCTAACTCAAGATACTGTTTTCTCTGGGTAGATCTCCAAGGAGCTTTCTAAAAAGAGCTCTGAGAACACATTCAGTTAAACCAAGACCCTGCTGTTCTGCATAGCTCCTTAAATATTAGTAAAATTGGACGTATGCGGCTAAAGTGGGCGATGGTTTGTTCCATGAGGCACTGGATGTTGGGTAGGGCCCAAACAACCCATTTCAACAGGTTACCCTAGCGAGGAAGGGCTCAGGCTCAGATCTTGGGAGGGTCTTCTAACATGTTCAGTCCTGGCCAATAGACCTTGTCACACGTCTACAGTGAAAACCCCGACCACCTCCCCTCGGAATGAGGTGGTGGCAGGACGGACTGTGGGGGGCAGGCGGGCGGGTGGGGCTGAGACCTGTGGCGAAGATGTGTATGCTTCCATTTCTGGAAAACGTGAACGGGGGTGGGGGATTCTGCCAGAAAGAAAGTTCTAATTGTGGTTCTGAGACTGCGGGGAGGAGGGTCCACACACGCTATGACCTGGAGCCTGGGTGTGGGTTCAGAAACCCTGTGTTCTGAATGCTGTGAAGTCAGCCCCGCTCTTATCACACCTAGAAATGGCCACTGCCGTGCCACACGCTGTGATGTGTCCCACCCCACCTTAGGAACTGCGGCGTCAACTCTAAACAGCAAGTCTCCACGAGAATAAATCAATGGAAAGGGCTACTCCTGCCACCCCTACGCGCCATCTGTATTTCAGGTAAAGGACAATTTCTTACTAAAATGCACATGTTAGCGACATGAACACTGGCCGAACAACGGTGTAGGACTTACTTCCTCTGAGTAGTGATCTGAAGGAAGAGGCGGGTAGTCACACTGCTCTATCTTCTTACACAGCGAGTACAAATTCATTTTGTCACCGTAGAAAGGACTCTGCAACGCAGCCATCTGTAAAACGCTCCCAATGAAACTGATATAGTTACTGGTCACTTTAAAGGTGATTTCATCAAGTATTTTACACTGGAGCAGAAAACAATTACAAACACTTTAAATAAAGTTATCTGGGCCTTTCGATTCTTACGAATATCCTTTTCTGAGAATTATTTAGTGAGTTGTAAATATCTTACTTCAATATTTGGTTATTTTATTCAACATTTAAAATTCCCTAAAAGTGAGAGGTGATTCACATATATTTATTTTACTTATATGAATATGAAGCATACAACAATGTTAAGAAAAAGAACATAAAGCCACTTAAAGCTCTCTGTAAATATAACTCCATAAAAGCAACTAGTTTATCTCACAACTGAACAGGCATTGATGGCATAAGTCACACGTGTAATGGCCAAAATGTAACAAAAACTTAAAACTACAGTTAAAATTGAATTATAATCCAGCAATGGAACAGAACGCACAGCATTTTATCTTGCGTAATAGTTTCTGTAGGAAAAAAAAGTCTTCTCAATCTGAATGTTGTAACTGGTCTTCAGGTAGTTTACAATGATTAGAACTTTTTTTCTTTTGATAATGTCTCAAAAACCACTAAATACGTCTAAATCTCTATGAGTCACAGCAGCTACTTCAAGGCATCCAAGTCAGATTTTTATGCAGGAAAAAAAAAAAAAGACGCCTTGCAGAATGAACAACTTTAAAAAAGACATTACGGAATTCAAATTTATTTTCAGACAAGGTTCTAACTTGACATTTAAAGTGCAAGCAAGTAGTGTGGTAAGCAGGGTTACGAACTAAAAATTCAATTCCAGTGTTTGCATCCTGTTCTAAACCTTCTAAATCTCTGAACCGCAGCAGCGAGAATACAACACGGAGTGTGAGCCTGCCCCCAAGTCAGTCACCCTTTTCTACATGTGCTAATAAGCTTGATTTTGGAAGGACAATGTGTACAGTCCCCAGACAGGCAGAGTGTGTGTGAAACACGCTGGCCCATGCTGTGCTCCTCAGCGAGCGTCAGTGGGGACAGGACAAGCTGAAAATGGCTCTCATCTGTCTTCTGGCGCTCCAGACAGACTTTTAACTCCTTCAGAGCCTCGATGCGGAGGGGCGGCTCTGGAAGGGAGCCCGCGGAGGAGGCGGGCCTGTGCGTCCCTGTAGCCTTTACACAGAACCTACGGAAACCTAGAGAAAGCCACCTCAGGGATGTGTGTGCCACAGGAAGAGGAAAAAGTAAACAAAAAATAAAACAAAAAGCCAATCTGAATGCCCCTAAACAGCAAACACTCCATTTGAGAAGAAATTTCTAAAAGAGGAGCTATAATCGTAATCACGATTTTTTGTTCAAAATGCAAGGGCACCTTACAATAAAAGAGAGTATTAAAAAGCTACCTTAACGAATACACTGTGTCTGTAACTGCGGGCTCTCCACGTTGGCGAAACCCCGAGGTGAGTGTCCACGTATTCATGATCAGACGCTAGGAGTTCATTACGGGACTTTTGTCTCAATGGTGCAGAGTGTTAAAAAAAAAAATCTGAAAAGTCCCCTAAGGAGTTAAACGGGAATAGTATATTTTCATGCATCTCCTGCTTTGACAGATGAAAAATGTCAACTGTCCTGTTTTTATTTTCCAGCTTTTGCACTATTCATCTGGTTCATTAGTGCATCCCGATGCCGCCCCTGACAGCTGCTCGCACTCTCTCCCCAGCAGCTGAATTTTTCAGGCTAATTTGATCCTCCACGCTGAGGCGATGGCTGGAATGATTGACTCGCTCTTTGACCCCCAGGGCCTGGCTTTCCTGATTAGTATTCTGGGGGCGTCAGAGGGACGAAAGCCCACTGTCTGTCTTCAGGGCTGGTGGCAGCTCTCTTTTTTTTTGAACTGTAAGCCACCAACCTACAACCCTGGAAGGATGCAATTGCTGAGCTGAACAATAAAGGAAATGTGTAAAACCTACTTTTCCATGTAAAGGTCCATGTAGCAAAAGCACAGCATCTTGGTTTTAATTAGTAAAGCCGACTTTGTTGCATATCAATTAAAACTGTACTGCTAGGTGTTTTGTGTGTGTGTGTGTGTGTGTGTGTGTGTGTGTGTGTGTGTGTTTTAAGGTTTCAAGAATATTTGAAAGTCTAATTCTCTGAGTTTCAAATACATTTTCAAAAAAGGCTTCCGACTCCTTCATTGTAAATTCTTAGCGGGACACAATATGAAATATCTGTGTAATCTTACAACCAGTTTTTTAAAGCTAAATGATGCTGGGTATTTCTAGCAACACCATATTAAAACATAACTGGAAGGAGATAATAACATAAGTAAACTGAATCTTTAGAGAAATTCTAGTTCTTCCAAATGACTAGCATACAGGAATTGAGAAAATGCACTGAAATGAAAACTAATGTTCACATGATAAATACTTGACTTCAAAATCATCCACATAGAACGCATGGATGTAGGAGTGTCCAAAGAAATAATTTTTATTTTGGTGGTCATTTTCAGCAGACACAAAAAAGGGACACTGCCTCTCAGAGGTGAATTCAGAATGGGAAGAATTAGTTCAGTTGGGACACAAGAGTCTGCTGGCCCCAAAAGAATCACGCAAACCCCAAAAAACACTAATCACCTCAACTGAACTTTTTCCTTTCCATTGCTAAATTTCATCTCATTTGTGGAATCCAATCTGCTATTTCCTTTTAGGTGTTGAAAAGGAAAATGTTGCTTTGATAATATTAGACTAGGGCCTGAAGGAACCTAAGGTTAGTTACCTAAGCAGGCATAAAATATTTTAAAATGTACACAGTGACTTTTAAACATTACAGTAATGTAATATAATCAAGTCAGTTCTTTCAACATTGTACCAAATTATAACAGAATATACTACAGTGAGCATAAATAAATCTCTTTCAATCTCATGTGCATATATAAAAACATATTTTGTTAAGTCACGAATTCATAATTTTTCATAATAAAAATTACCCTAGGGATGTAATTTAAGAACATTTAAAAATCCTTTCTATCGAAGTAGATATTAGTCACTTTAGTAAGGAGAACAAAATAAATAAACTCAAAATAAATACTCTCTTAAATTTTGGAAATTTGAATCTGCAATCAGTAAAATATAACAATCAAAGATCATGATACACATTTTTTAAAAAAAACTTCTTATGCTTCAATTTCAAGTATGGGTGGAACAATGAAAACAGATGACCTCATTACATATTTAAGTTAAGAGGCCAAGAGATATAAAATACAGAGTTAGAAATACAATGGCTGCTATCTACCCACATAGATTCCCTTTGTGTCCATTAAAATAGGAAGATGATCCTGTATTATTTTCCTTCATTTTATTTTACTGGATTGTCGGAAAAGTCATGATGCATTTTTGCAACGAAAAACATAAAAAAAATACGTCACGACTTTTCCGACAACCCAATATTCAAAGAGTGACTTAAATGTAGACTACTTTTAAATAAACAGCTTTGACTCAAAGCCTATATTTCTAGGAAGATTACCATTCAATTCAATTAAAAAAAATGACAGAAGTCACTAGCTTCAGATACTCTTTGATGCCATTACTTTATCACAGGGATATAAATGGGCTGATATTATGCTTTCTTCTATCCATCGAAATTACTGCATTGCAATATTTGCCTGAGGATCTACCTACACAATTTTATCTCCCTTTGATAAATTCTCAGCAGTAAAACAGGAGAGAGCATATCACTGAGCTTGACCAACACAAACTGTTAACTCATGGAAATGAAATTAAGTGATAACCTAGGAGAATGATCTCTTTGCATACTATCCTTAAAGTCCAATTAGTCTACATAAAGTGAAAAAAAATGTGATAAGATATTTACTGTGCTTCATATTTTAAATCCATTCCATTATACCTCTCCTACATTGCATGGATGAGTTTTTTCAGAGATATTCAAATATACATTTTTATAAATAAGATATGCTGAAAACATCATATTAACATAAAAACATTTTAAAAAATAAAATTCTCATCAAAAGGGAACTCCTTAAAAATATATTGGAGGGAGTAAATGTGGAAGAATATACAGTTACTAAATTCCACTATAAAAGCAGTTACTAAGCCATGGAATTAACTCTTCGTAACTAAAACACTAATTCTTAAACATCACCTAGGACAAAATAAGTGTATACTCTAAGATAAGGGAAATGTATTACAGTGAGTAGGAATACATCCCAATTTGGAATTATCAACATTACCTACCTCATACAGTAGACAGCCAAGAGACCAGATGTCAGATTTGAAGTTGTACCCATTTTCATGTATTCTCTCTGGAGACATGTAATAAGGCGTACCCACTGCAGAGAACAGACCAAGGAAAACCAGAGCGGCATGAAAATGAAGATGCGACTGGGGTAAGGAATTACACGCAAAATTCTGGATTAAAAATGTCCCCGAAATAACTCATTACGATCAGAAAACTGTTTTTCAGAATACTCAAAACTTTAAATTTCCTTCTCACCCCTTGACCCTCAAACAGCTCATTAACATCTTTCCTAACTAAAAAGGGGGCGGGGGCTCAAGCCTCAATTTATCGCCTTTTGATGGCGCCAGGGGGACACAGCTACCGGGAAGAAGGGAATTCTAACAAGGACGCCTAGGTAAGGGATTCACATTGACTTCACTTCTGTATCTAAAAAGAATATGACTGCATATCCCAAAGAAGTAAGCACAATAATAATTTATTTAAATATAAATAGTAATATATAACAACTTAGTAGGCTATACATAAGTAAATTATACTAACTTTTACAGAAACACTCCTTAGGACACAGTGGTGGCTCTTAAAATTACAAATTATATCATCATTAACTTTCACTACCTTACTTCTACTTTAGAAAGAATATAACAGACTTGTGTACATCAAAGGTTATATAACAACATGTGAAAAGTCACTGACATCTGTGAACAAATGTCTGAGTGATTACTCCTACGAGATGAGGCCTTCTTAGAGACAGGGTACTCTGGATCATTTTTGGTTTTGTTTGTTTGATGTGTTAATACTTTTTTCTCTTATGACCGTTTTAGAAAATGCTAACATAATACATGCTAATATAGTAAATATTTATTAAACATTTAAAAATAAACAAAGGCACTCTATGTTGAAGAGTAAAAAACATTGAAGTGACTTTTGAAGTGAATATAATTAAATTTCAAATTTAGATAGCTATTTCACCATCATTAGCCTAAGACATTTTGCAAAACAGAAAATCAAAGTTTGAGACCCACATTTAGGGATTTTAGTTGCTTGAAGCAAGAGCCAGCAAAACACACTGCTACTCACAGAGAACAGGAAGGGTTCTCCTTTTTCAATTAATTTTCAAGAACACCCCAGATAGTCGCTGTAAATTTTAATGAGATTATAACTCACGAGACTGAACAGGGGTGTTTAGAGGGAGGCAAAAAGAAGGGTAACACCAACAATCAAAACAGCATCATCCTTAAAGGCAGGAGTCAGTTCTCCAAATAAATAAAGTCACAGCCTAATAGTCACTGTGGAAACTGCACTAAAGGTGAAAGAAAACCTCAGAACCATGTAGTCACAAGAAATCCTGCCTGGACGGGAATCAATTTTTACTAATAACGTGTAGTCCTGGTCAGAATGGACGGAGGCAAGTATTTATGAAGGTGAAGGAGAAAAGGGAACGAATATGCAAACAGGACTAAAGAAATTTAAATAAAATACAAACGCTTCGGGTACAAAATAAAAGAGACAAACTTTAAGAAAAAAGTTACTGAATGGCAGCCTTTACTCTGAAGACAAACCAGTGAATTTGACGATTTCTGTCGGGGTCAGAAAAGGGAGGAAACTTTGAGAAACAGCTGGGTTTAAGGACCTGGTCTTGTTACTGGGTAAAGTAAACAAGGCTATCTGGCTTTGGGGGTTCCGCCCGTTCACCTGTGTGTGTGCGTGGCTGACATGGATTATTGGAAATATTTACACACCACCTGCACCCCGGGAAGGACGGCAGGTACACGGCGCTTCACCGGGCAGAGCGCAGGCGGCTGGCTCGGGCACCTGAGCAAGTGGCCGGCAGTGAGGGGTGAGCAGAGAGCCTTCTGGAACCCACAGGGGCGCCCGGAGCGCCGAGGCTCCCAGGGTCCGAGCTGACCAACAGCAAAGGTGATTTTAACCAGTAGCCCTGGGAGAGCTGCGGCACATTAGGGGTTTGCTACGAGTGTGAAAGGCTGATGACTGGGAAAAAGAAGAACAAATGCTAGCATTTTGCAGGGACTAGCCCCAGCACAACACCTTCACTGCACGCACACGGAACTCACGGAGACAACGAGGACCACGAGGATGTCCACGAAACTAAACCGAAAATGCAAGTAGAAAAATGGATGTACGCAAAGCCTCTGCCCGTGGGCTGCTGGGGGTCACTGGCGCTGCTGCTGGAAGCCCAGGCGCCGATTCTGGTCGTTTTGCAAGCAACACGCTCCTTTCTACTGAACACTCAATGGTTACCTGCATCTCAATCTAAAGTGCAAATCTAAGGGTGGCACTGACCGCTTCGATGACACATTTCCGAAAGCGTCATTAGATAAGAAGAGGAGAAAGTCTGTCCCCTGCACGACCATTATTCGTCAGGTAGATTCATCATCAGCTGCTGAGCACAGGCAGGCGAGGGCGGCCCCACCACCTCCATCTGACACGCTCCCTCCGGGGCCTCCGCCTCCGACGCCGGCTGGGGGCTGAGACCCGCCACTCGTCCCCACCTCCACCTGGCGGAGCGGCCGGAGAGCCCGAACACTCAGGAACACCCGGAAGGCATTTAAATGCAGTGATGCGTTCCCACATTTCCAACGTAATGAATGTAGTATATTTATTTGCTAAAGACCTTTTTTTAAATCCATGACCACTGTGCCTATTAATTACTATGGCCTCCAGAACGTTGGGACCTCTTTTCACAGCTGTACAAGAAAACGGCGAGTGGCAGAGTGATGCGATCAGACATTAAAACGACCACGCGATTGCTATGGACTGGGGAGCGTGGACAGCGCGGGACGCAGGACTCCACTACCACTGATTTATGAGCATTTATGGCTGTAGGTAAAATGGAATGGATTTCATTATAGCAGAGACTTGTGTCATTTTAACCTCCTGACATGAGTAAAAGTAAGAAATGGAGGATAACATTATAGAAACGCAGAAAGGCTCATATTAGAGGAAAACTACTAACTACTGAAAATTCTAAAGACAGTCTTCAAATATCAAAAAATTTCATTGAATTAGTTGGTTTATTCTAGCTACATGAGAAAAGTTTTACAAGTTACATACAGAATTTTCTCAACATTTTAGCTTAAAATTTAGCCCTGCAATTTCTGCAAACATTTGAATGAGAAAAAACCAGAACCACTGAAGCTCTGTTTATGTGGTTAGATTTGGGTTGCTATTTTTATGTTCGTTGGTTTTTTAAACAAGAGAGGCGGGGCAAAAAATCAGTCCAAGGTCAGAAATCTGTTCACGTTTCAGCTTTGCCACTGACTAACCTCGACTTCTCTTTTTATTCCCTTTCCTCATCTTTAAGAAGCAGGGATGAGAAAGAGGAGATGGTTTCTGAAATCCCTTTTGCTCTAATATTCTACAGCATTCATAAAAACCCTACAAAAATCCAAATGCAAAGTGGAATGGAAAAAGTATTATATTCCTTTTTTAAACTATGTCCTAGGACAGTTGAATGATGTTTGTTAAGTCAGAGTAGAAATAAGGAAATGCAGTTTAGAAATCTTGCTTCTTTCTCTTGAATCAGAGCAAACTGAAGAAAAGAAAGCTTTCAACACTCCTTGTTGGGAAAATTAAAAGGACACGAGTCATCTTATACTTTGCTTTGATTAAAAAAGACACACTAAATTCAGGGATAGGGATGAATTCTCATCCTTTCCTTCAAATTCAAGTCAGCCTGGAAATTACCAGCAGACTTAACTGAGAAAGGCTATACTTACTTAATTGAAGAAATATTATCTGGGGTCAATACAGAATGGCTGAGTGGTAGATCAATATTTCTTCTACAAAAGGCATTTATGAAATAGGATTTCTCATTTTTTAAATGTACCTGGTAATATTTAAGAGCTTTAATTAATGCCAAGGGGGGAAAAACCCAGAAACCTCTGTTGTTACTGGTGCTGTGCTCCAGGCACTGTGTTAGATGCATGCATGTATCGCCTTGCTGAGCTTCTAACAAATGTTTATCAGGCCTCTACTTGACGGTACTACACTGTTCTAGATGCTGGGGGCCAGAAGTGAACAGGATGCATCCTTGACCTCATGGGTTCATGGGCTGGTGACACGGGAAATATTATGAGGTGGCTTCATGAGATGTCACGACTATTATCGTTTCTTACAGAGGAAGCATTGGGAAGTCAGGTGATTTGTAATGACTATAAAATGGTAAAGTGTGGACCTGGAATTCACACCAGGTAGCTCTGTCCCTTGCACTGAAACAGGTATTTTATTAAAACTGACCACTGTAACATGTGACTGGAAAAAACCTGTATATTTCCAAATTAAGCGACAGAGAAATCTCCTATCAGCTCGAGCATGAAAAGCCAGGAATTGGGGCCCAGTTTCAATGGGGTTCGATGGGCCACCCGTGAAAATTAGGCTGCCCTGCAGCTGCTCCGACTGTTTTTAATAAATACTTGTTGTGCTGGCGGAGAGGTTAAATGGGCACAGTTTAAAACCAGATAATAGCTTCTTCCCAGAGCAACTGTTTAAGTCAAGAAACAGGCTGGCAGTTAAAAATAAATGGGTGCAAGACCCTCCAGCATAGCTTGAACAGATGCTCCCTTTGCAGCTCCGAGCCACGCTGACCACCGAGGGAAGAGCCAGAGAGGCGCTGGGGAAGGCGTGGGGAAGAGGGCATGTGGCCACAGGTGGCGCTTGGCACCCAAAATGAAACTGTTTTAATGCCTGCTTCGAGAACACTAATTTTCCAAGTTGAAATCAGAGGCTATATCGCACTTGGAAATAGTGTGGGGAACATGAATTGTACACTCAGGAGACTCCAGTGTGAAAATTCTGATACTGGTTTGAATGACGGCCATGCATTTACTCTGCTGGCAGCATCAAAAATCGGAGAAGCCTTTGTCTCACTGTGAAAGGTGGGGGGAGTTAAGCCTTCAGCAACCACCACAGAACCCCACCACCAGCAGCAGGGAGTGTCAAGGAGTTGTTTAGCACACAGATCAGATTAGAGCATTCTAGTTAACTTTAAAAAAAACTCAGTTCTATGTTCAGCACGTACAAACACATACAATAACCAAATTCACAAGTGCGCATGCAAAGAGAAAGTACTCT